CTGCATCAGTCCTGCAATGGAGCCTGCCTCCCAGACTCCCATTTACTCAAACTGCCTTGGAAAGGAGGAGGGTGAGAAGAGGGCTGGGGAGATTTGGAGCACAAAGGCCTCTATGCTCAGAGCACGCTGTGACTTGCCACTGCTGTTTCCTTCCTGCTGCGTCTCTTCTTTATTTCCCCTCCATCAACATATTCTCGGGAAGGTAGAGTGCAGATGTGTTTTTGTGACTCAAAGCCATATGAAGCCAAAATGAGTCTTTCTCTTGTCATAATTAGAAGTAGGGCCTTGGGCTGTTTACTGACTAAAATAAATATGGTGCTTAGCTTCTCAGTTGCAACACTTTCCAGCTTTTATGAAAAAAGCAAACAAAAATAAAATCTTATTTTAAATGTAGTGGCAGAAATTAAATAAAATATCCTCAATAGGACTGTATAGTTAAAAAAAAATTGTTTTGGGAGGACTGTTCAGCAAAACCTTCACAACAAAACCATACCAAAAAACCCAAAAAACTTTCCGCATTTGGCAACCGGTGATAACTCATCCTATTATAACTATTTAGTCTGTTTCCTTATTTTTTTCCTCAGATTATATGTAGAGTCGGTATGGTATAGCAATATAAAACTGAGTATCCATTGCCAGGCTGTGTGGGTTCAATTCCCAGCTCTACCATATAGAGTGCTTAACTTCGCTGTTACTTCTGTAAAATGGAGACCATAGTAGTGCCGAGCTCATAGGGTTATTGTGAGGATTAAATGAGTAGCGGAAAAAAAATCTTTATAATAGCGCCTGATACAGAATGAGTATAGTATATGTATTTACCTATTTTTTTTTTAGTAAAGTTTATTAATGTATAATTTGAGGTGCAATTTTTATGCAGTAAAATTCACCCTTTATAATATAGTCTTCTGGGAGTTTTGACAAATACATAAACCATATAACCACCATCACAATCAAGATATAGAACATTTCTATCATCCTTAAAAGTTCTCTCTTTGTAGCCAATCTTCCCTGCCCCTAACACCCAAACCCTGGCAATCACTGGTGATCTGTTTTCTGACCCTATACATTTTTGCTTTACAGAACAGCATACAAGTGGAATCATATCATATCTACACTTCTGAGTCTATCTTCTTTTGCTTGGCACAGGG